TGCCGGAGAGTCGAGACGGCGGAGCTACGCTGCGGGATTACGCTGTTCCTTGTCGGGATTTTCGCTCTCGTGCGCGAGCGTGTGTGTGTGTCGGTGAATTTCGGGGGATTTTGTCTCCTCGCGATTTCTTGTGGATTAGTTCTCGTACCTTGTGAGTGACGTCGAGGTGAAGGATTCCTGAGGGTTTGGATGCTTTGGAAAAAAATATTTTTGTCCCCGATTACCGACTTTGTCGAGGGAATTTGTAGTTTCGAAAAAAGTTGGTCTTCCGAACGAAACTTAGAAAGTTGTGGATAAGATTCTTTCCCCTTCAGTTAAGAGTTGTGTTATGAAAATCCGACTTGACGATGAATTAGTGATGTTACTTCCGAACGCGAGAGAGGACCGAGAGCAAAACTTTGCCAGCATGGACATCGTCTGAGTGACACACGAAGTGAGAAGGAGGAAAAGACAAAAAAGAAAAGTAAATAATAAAAAAAAACAAATCAAAACAACCCTTCTAAAAAAAACAAGGACAAAAACCCAACCAACAGAGATAAGCAAACACTACAAGGATTCCAACCCCTTCCCACCCCCGACCAAAGGACCAAACCAATGGTGAACCAACTGTAGAACCTTCTTCCCTCCCTCCCCCACCTCGAAAATGGCTGGTTTCAGAGGTGTGTTGGCCTCGGTGCTTGTGGCCATGATGGTCGGCTCTCTGCCTGGCCCATCCACGGCCAACTTCAACCTCTATCTGACACAAGAAGAGGTCACCAGAATCCTAGGTGGGTAGCGCCGAGTTCTGCGGTTGTTTGCGCGAGGCTTTTGGCTGTAGAATTATGCTTTTTATGTTTTTTTGTCAGTTTGGTGTTCTTGTTCTTGGTGTTATGGTATCAGTGTTAGTGATAGTAGTGATAATAATAGGAGTAGTGATGATAAAAATTGAAATAGTAATAATAATGAATGATTGTATCATTATTGTTAATGTTGTGGTTATTGCTATTATTATTATTATTATGATTATTATTTTATTATTATTATTATTTGCATAATTATTGATATTGAGGTTATCATATTATTGTATTATTATATCCACCACCATCGTCATTATCATCGATGTTATTATCATTGTTATTTTCTTCTCACTATTTTTACTAAATACTCAGTATACGTATTAGCATCAATATCATTCTTGTTATTATTTTTATTATTGTCATTACATATTATTATTATCATTATTATTATCATTATCATTATCATTATTATTATTATTATTATTATTATTATTATTATTATTATTATTATTATTATTATTATTATTATTATTATTATTATTATTGCTATTATCATCGTCATCATTTTCGATTGTTGTTACTATTACTGTTATTATCTCGACAACTGCTACCATTAGTGTTATTCTTGATTTTTATTCCAATATTCTTTTCGTCAAAGCCTTAGTAACTAACAGGAATGTCCTTTAACGGTACCCAGTTCAACATATGATTTGCACTTCATTCATTTGCATGTCCTAATGATCAGCAAATTACGCCAGAGGGAAGCCAGTGTTATGTATTCAAAGCTTTTTTTTATTCAAAACTTTTTTTTCTACTTTCCTTGTTTTTTTAGATAATCCTTTGATTTAGGCGTGTAGACTGCAGACCTGTATTGTCACACTCTGAAATACTATGCGATAAATTCCGACATTCACTCGTATGCAATTAACCTCTTGTGTTTATTTATACATTTAGGAAGAGGAGCAACGTGGATAATACGGACGTTTTATATATATAAACGTGAGGATTTGAATATAGGCTGTGAGTAATTTGAGCGAGGTGGGCGTGAACAGGTTGATTAAATTAGGTGATAACGACACTTCAGCTAGGGGAGAATGGGAGGATTTGCAAAAGTTTGTATGATACTGTTGTGGGGTTAAAATGCTTATGTGTGTGTGGAAGAGAGTGAGAGGGAGAGAAGGAGAGGGAGAAGGAGAGGGAGAGGGAGAGGGAGAGGGAGAGGGAGAGGGAGAAGGAGAAGGAGAAGGAGAAGGAGAAGGAGAGGGAGAGGGAGAGGGAGAGGGAGAGGGAGAGGGAGAGGGAGAGAGAGAGAGAGAGAGAGAGAGAGAGAGAGAGAGAGAGAGAGAGAGAGAGAGAAGGAAAATAAGAAGCTTGAAAGAAAGAAAGAAGATTCAAAGAAAGAAAGAAACAAAGAGAAAGAGAAAAGAGTACCAAACTCGTGGAACCGTCCGAGAGATCGTTCGAAAACTGGAACAAGAAAGACCCCGAAATCACAAATCAAACTTCATCTTTTAAATCCATTCCCACCCGCAACCATAAGACACCCATTAGACAGAAAACAAAACAGAAAGTCGGAAAAAAGATATATGCGAGCGTGCGTGCGTGCGTGCATGGCGTTTGGCGAATAATTCACGAAAACGGAACTTGAAGCCAGCACCATCCCAGCTCCTATATCCCCCCACCCCCTCCCTGGACGCCGTCGGCCCAGCGCGGACGGCGTGAAC